CACACACACACACACACACACGCACACACACACAGGCAGAGACACACCCTCCAGCTCCCTAGTGCCCCCTGTGGAGATTGGAAGTATGGGCCAAATCCATTTGATTTTGGCAGGGTCTCCTGCACCCTCACCTCCAACCCATCCAGGAGGCCTGGACTATGAGGAGCCTAAAGGCCAGGTATGGGAGGCTTCCAGAGAAGGCAAAGTGTCTGGAAGGCCACCAGCTCCGACAGATGGGCCAGAGAGGCCAAGGCTCGGGCAGGGAGACTTTCAGGTCACACCCAGGCTCCTCCCTGTAGGCCAGCCCACTTATCCCATGGGCCCTACAGGTCCCAATAGCAGCTGCAACCTGGACGTTTCCCTTATAAGGCCTGGGCTGACAGTAGCCTCCCCCCCAGAGCACCCAGGGACTCTGCCCCAGGGCTCAGATCCTGAGCCACCCGGACACTCCTGCTCTATTCTTACCCCTGCCCTCAGGGATGCAGCAAAAGTAGCTGTGATGCTGCTGCTGGCAGGCGGGGGTCACTCCAGGGCATGGGAGGATCCAGGGCAGGGCTGCTGACCGACCAGTGAGTCCTTACAAAGCACCAGAACCTCATGTGTGTTGGTAGACTGTCCCAAGCGTGCAGACAATAAGGAAAGAACGGGGAGGGGCTTTGAACAGCTGGGATGCAGGTCCCAGAGCGGGGGATGGGCATGCTCTCCAGCCATCCTCCAACAGGAGGGTAGGCCCTCTTACCCTCTACCTGGATTAGAGAAGGATTGAGCTATAGGAGTGGGAAGGGGGAGGGGAGCTAACATGTCTGTCTCCTCCTCCAGGGTGGCCCTGTGAGGCCACTTAAGCCGTGCAGGCACCACACATAGAGTCCAACATGAACGGTGCCCCCTGGATGATTGCGAAGTGGCAGACTTCCCTGACTCCGGCCCCACTGGACTGTGCACACATGTACATATGTGTATGTATGTGCGTGTGCGCACACACACGCTACCCTGAGCCCCTCAGCTCAGCGAGGTCCCGCCCACCAGCAGTGAGAACCAGAACCTCTGGCGAAAGAGAACAGGAAAAGTAAGCCTGGACCACCACCCTCAGTCTCCTGCCCACACGCCTGGTCCCCAGCATTTCCTCCAGCCTTGGCTCCAGCCTTACTTCCCCCCTCCGCTCCCCCACCAGAGCAGCGTGCCAATCTAGCTGGGGCAGCTGTGGAGGCTCAGTAAGGGATCGCCCCCAAGGGGCCAGACATTTAAGGGACCGGTGACTCCACTGTTGGGACAAAAGGAGACTTGCCCGCCTACAGCCCAGGCATAGCTGCACCCCCAAAGCCCTGGACACAGCATTCAAGGGTTAGGAGGGACAGGTCACGCAAAGGTAAGGCTCCCCTCTTTCTTCAAGAAGGGTGCAGAACCTGCTACCTTCGGAGCCCAGAGCAGGACAGTCAGAGTAAGCTAACTCGTGTGAGTTCGCTCCTTGTGTGTGTGTGGTGGGGGGGGGGGGGGGGGGGGGGGGGGGGGGGGGGGGTCCCAGGTAGAAACTACAGGTGGGTAATCGCACGAAGGAAACTTTATTTGCAGCAAATGAGATCGTGGGGAAAATCTTCCAAAGTCGTGACTCCCTGAACGAGGGTGAGTAGGTTTCTTTTATTTAGGATGAACATTTAGATGGGGAGCCATGTCGTCGCATGTACAGGCGAGCAGAAGGTCAACGCCTGTTCCTTAAGGAAACATGCCCATAGATACATTGTAACGTAAATGAGGCTGAGGCTCGTTGGGTGGAGATTTTAGTATCATGAGGAGGTAAAGGTAACGGTAGGCCACGCCAGGGTCCGTCTGCACAGGTGTGAGTCAGGGTAGGTGTTAAGCTTAAACTGGTCTGGGTGGTCTGGGCCACCAGAGCTCCTGTCCAGGCAGTTGTTACTGCTTGGGGTTGTTTCAGTTTCCATCACAGGATATTTTTCCCCGCAGGTCTTTTGCCTGAGTTAAGAGATAAGCTGGAAATAAGTCATACAGAGAAAGATACCATATGTTTTCACCCTTATGTGGATCCTGAGAAAGTTAACAGAAGACCATGGGGGAGGGGGAGAAAAAAAAAGAGAGAGGGAGGGAGGCAAACCATAAGAGACTCTTAAAAACAGAATAAACTCAGGGTTGATGGGGGGTGGGAGGGAGGGGAGGGTGGGTGGGTGATGGGCATTGAGGAGGGCACCTGTTGGGATGAACACTGGGTGTTGTATGGAAACAAATTTGACAATAAATTTCGTATTAAAAATAAAGAAAGAAGAGTTTAAGGAAGAATGTGGGACAAAGGTCAGTGGAACCATGCAGGTGAGCAGTAAAGGTCAGCTCTTGGGGTCTAGCTGGTGACAGTCTCAGAACTCAGAGGTGGAAATAGGCCAGGCAGAGATACGGGGGGTGGGGGAGATAAAGTTGAGCCTCCACCTTCCTGCCCAGAACAAGGCCCTTTTCAGAAGGGCAGTGGACTGGGAATCAGGAGGCCGGGATTCCAGGCTGAGTGACCTTTGACAGGTTATTTCTCGCAGACATCAGTTTCCTCACACACAAAGTGTAGGTGGAAAACTGCCGTGCTGGTTAAACAAAAATGGTAGGAACATCCATTCTTGGAAATACTGTGTAGTTGTTAGAACGAGGAGAGCCCTCATGAACCCATACGGAGAGATCTCCAAGGTGGATTCCGTGAAAGAGAAAGGGCGGAATAGTGAATAGTGTGTACCTGAAGTGTAAAGAGGGGACGAGGACAAAAACATACGTGTCTCTGCATGAAGGAGCTCCAGAAGGAGCTGAGCGACCACGGGTGGTTGGGTGGTTCGTGTTGGGGGAGGGCCGGGAGATGGGGGCTCAGGAGGGGGCCTCTTCATATGGATGTGGATGTTGTTTCACTTATTAACGATGAGATCGAATTACTGATTTTTTTTAAAGAAAAAAAATGAAAGAAAACCTCAGCCTCTGTCTTTATCGAGTCACAAGTGAAAGCAGGGCTGCAGACACACACTCTCATCTATCCGTCTTAGCATTCCAATGATGCCAGGGGTCCCCAGGGCACAGGAGGAAAATCCCCAGCTTCCTTCCAAGGCCCACTGCAGTATGGCTTAGTCAGGAAGTTCCTTCTTAGGTCTGACTTCATTGCCTCCTGATGAGACAGCTAACACTGCCTCCCTAGTTCCATGTAGCTATGAATACGAATCCCCAGCTCCCCCTGGGTAAATCTCAGCCCTACCATTCTCTCCCCCTGAGAACTTGGAATGGTTTGCGATTACTTGGTGGGTGACAGGCCCACTGGCCCTTGTAACCAGCCTGGGAAGGCGAGATACAATGGGAAGAAAAGACAGGCCGGAGAGAAGCTTGCTGCCCTACTTCTCCTCATTCTCTCCTGTGCACAGTCGTCTCCCCTTGTGTTCACCTGCCCCGTGTCTTCCCCCCACCACACACACACACACACACACACACACACACACAGAAGAGCAACTCTGGATCTCCCTCCTAGGCCCTTCCTTCATGGCCTCATCCTCTCCCTGGTCCTCCCAGGTGAGTGCCCACGCCTGCTGTCACCATGACGACCATTCACCACGAGCAGATGCTGCAGGAGCACGTGTCCATGGAGTTCTCCAGCTCCACCACCCACGTGCAGACCTTCTCCCAGACAACCAGGATCGTGGGAGGCAAGTAGAGTGGATGGGAGGGGAAATCGGGAAAGGGCAGCCTTTCTTTCTCCAGATCCAGCCTCTGGGCGGCGACGGGGCGAGGGGCGGGGGTGGGCGCTCAGCCGTTATGAGTTCTGGGCCCCTCAGGAGCCCAATATACAAAGGACAACCCTCTCCTAACCTGTGCTTCTAATCTGTACTTTGATAAAGCTTCAGCCAGTGGGATGCTTACCCATAGATCCGATCTCCAGGAAAACAGCTTAGGAAAGTCAGTCACATGCATGTGTGTGAGTGATTGATGAACTTAATTGCTTGAGGAGATCAGAGCCCGAAGCAAATGGATGTATCTCTGATGGCAGAATTTCAGACATGGAGGAAGCTAGGGAAGTAGCTACCTTATCTAGATGTGAGTAATGCTGACCCTGCTCCACTTCAGAAATAGGAGATTTGGAGCTGCCAGTGGAGAGGATGAAGACATAAACAAGTGACCTAAGCTTCCAGGCTCTCAACCCTTGGGGACCGGACTTGGGGGAAAACAGATCCAAGGGAAAGCTGAGAAATGGTCTCAGAGCAGAACAGATTGTTTCAGTCATGTCTCTAGTGAAAAGAGATTAAAAGATGGCCAGAGGCCAAAGTATCCAATATCCCCTCCCAGTCACTGCCCCCTCCCTCAAAGTCCTGGAGGGACAGAGTCCCTCAAAGTCCTCGTGCACAGAGGTCAGGGCCAGATGAACACTCTATCCCAACCACTCCTGGTCAGTGAGGCCAGGCAAGTGGAACAGCTGGGGCTCAAGACCAGAAGTTGCAAACTTACGTGATGATAGCAGTGATTCTCAACCCCGGCTGCATATTCGATTGGCTTTAGTGTAGCGGGGAGCAAGGAAGGGGAATGAAAAAAAAAATAGCGATACATAAGTCTCACCCAGCTGCTAAATCAGGTGTATGGGTATGTGTGTATGTGTGTGTGTGTGTGTTTCAAGCTCTCCAGAGATTCTAGCATGTAGCCAGAGTTTAAAACCACTGGCCATCAGGGTCCAGGCACGGAATATAAATGCAGAAAAAATGACCGAAGTGAACTGCAGAGCACATCCCCCACCTCAAGGGGCAGCCGCTATTCACTGCCCCCGATCGTTGCCATATGGGGGGTATGAGCTCCATGTTGAGAATCCAGAAATGTGAATTTTTATGTGAAATCTCTCATTCTTTAGATGTAGGGCTACTTTTTGTTTGACCATTGTAGAGATTAAACATCTGCAGGTTATGGGCAGCCTGCACACTGCTTGTTTGACACTTCTGATGGCTACTTAAAAGTGCGTCGGAACACGTTTTTCTCATCTCAGTCTTTCAGGCTAGTGGGGATAATAAAAGCACCTACTTCGCTGGAGTATTGTGAGGATTAAATAACATAACCTCTGAACTGTGTTTAGCACGGTTCCTGACAAAAGGAACGCGCTCTGTGAATCAGAGACATTGTTTTTAACTGTCAACTCACTAGCCAACAAGACGGTCTGTAGTTTATACTGAAAAAACTTTTCATTTTCCAAACATAAAATTACATGACTGCATTGAATATGCTCTCTCAGATAAGGAGATTCCCACCCATAGCCCCTCTAGGCTGGGAATGTTTCCTGTCCCTCGCTCAAGAATCACTGCTCCTCCCATAGCAATGAATGCTAAACCACAGAAGGGCTAAGGGAAGGCAGACAGCAGAATTCAACTAAGCCACCGGGCCCCTCTTAAGGCTGCTGGGGGACTAGGATTTCCAGGAGAGAAGCCCAAGAGGCCAAGAAACCCCCATCAAAATAAATCTCCTTTTTAAAAAAGAAAAAGGTTGGAAAAAAAGAAAAAGAAAAGAAAAGAATTGGGACCCGGTAACGTGGCCCGATAAACGTGATTGACCAGAGGCCTG